ACGGCCCGGCTCGGCCCCCGCCGCCGCCGCCGCCCTCCGCCGGGCCCCGCACCTGGGAAGCGGCCCCGCTGAGCGGCCCGCACCGGCCGTGTGTGTTGCAGAGCCGCCTCGCCCCGCGCCAAAATGCACCGGACGACCAGGATCAAAATCACCGAGCTGAACCCGCACCTCATGTGCGTGCTGTGCGGCGGGTACTTCATCGACGCGACGACCATCATCGAGTGCCTGCACTCCTGTGAGTACCGCGGCACCGCGGCACCGCGGCTCGTCCTGGCGACGGCCCTACGGTCTTTGTTAAAGGCGCAATATATGTGCTCTAAGCGTCGCCTTTTCATGTTAATCGCGGCCGATTTGAGTATTTGTTTAGCTTAAGCGGCGCGCTGCTGACAATGGCCGATTCCCGGCCGCATAGTTTAGGAGATCGCACCTCTCTCTGTCTATGCATGCTCGGTGTCACCTCCGACCGTCGCTAAAGGCTCCCATGTTTGCCTTGCAGTCTGCAAGACGTGCATCGTGCGGTACTTGGAGACGAGCAAGTACTGCCCGATCTGCGACGTCCAAGTGCACAAAACCCGGCCGCTGCTCAACATCAGGTAGGGGCGGGCGCGCCGCGCGGGGCCGCGCCGTTGGGCGATCTTATCTCCGCGTCGCGATTTCAATCTGAAAGGAGCCGTGAATTTACGGGCTGCCTCGCGGCCAGGCGCTCTCTTTGGACTTTTGTCATTGATGGAAGCCGAAGGTTCCGCCGGGTGCGAGCGGAGTCGCGTCGGGCTTTGCGGAGGGAGGCTGCGGCGGGCACGGTGCCGTCCCCGCGCTTCACAGCGCCCGCAGCTCCCGTCGCCGCTTGCCGTTTCCCACGGCCAAACCTCGGCCCCCCAAACTTACCGGAACTCCGGCAGCCGAAAGCCGAACCCTTTCGGCATGCTTCTGCTGCCAGAAGCGTTTTCTCCGCGCCGTTCCTTTCTGCCGCTCCTCGTTTTCTGTGGAGGAATTGTAGGTTTAGGCAGAATGATTTTTCGGCGGCACTGCCGCGGTAGACCCGGCTTTAGTTTTACAGCGGTGCTCAGAGCTGCGTTAGTTTGATTTTAAGCTCCTGTAAGCTGCGTTTTATGGGCGGCCTCCCGCGAGGCCGGGAGTCCCGCCTGCTGTTGGCAGAGGTTACACGGCAGGAGCTGCCGCTCGCATCGAAACGCTGCTTCGTGCGCTCAGCACTGTGCTCAATGCTTCTTTCCAGGTCAGATAAAACTCTCCAGGATATTGTGTACAAGCTCGTGCCGGGCCTTTTCAAAAGTAAGTACCAAAAAGCAGAAGAAATACCCCGAACCCAGAACTGCTCTCCCGCGTCCCTGCCGGGAGCTGCAAGGAGGTTCTGATGCCCCACGTGTGTTTTTCCCCAGATGAAATGAAAAGAAGAAGGGATTTCTATGCTGCTCATCCGTCGGCTGATGGTAAAAGCTTCTCACTCCCGACCCTAATCGATGGCGCGTTGCCCCCGGTGCTCTACTCTTTGCTTTTTAACTCACAAGCGCTGTGTTGTCGGGGTGGAATTTTAAGAAGTAAATTCAGCATGATAAAAGTTTGCTGCTTTGGCGGTTCCGTAGATTTAATCGTAATCTCACCGTGGGGATTTTTTTCTTTTCCTCCTCACCGAGAATTGCCCTTCTTCCTGATTTGAATTTCAAAATGTAAATTATTGTGGAAATTTCTGCGCAGCTGCCAATGGCTCTAATGAAGACAGGGGAGAAGTGGCTGACGAAGACAAAAGAATTATAACAGACGACGAGATAATAAGCTTATCCATTGAGTTCTTTGACCAGAACAGGCAAGTTCCTGAGTGGCAGTATTTTATGCTCACCTGACCGATAGCAGCTCTTTGTTATTTGTTGTAATTGTTTCATTTCTCCTCGCAGACTGGAACGAAAAGGAAATAAAGAGAAAGAAAAATCAAAGGAGGAGGTAAATAACTTTCCTTTACCCCAGAGAAATGTGGCACAGCCGCAAGCAGTTCCTCGTGGGTTTGTAGCTGGGAAAAATAGCTGGTTTGTGACGAGGACAAAAGGAGTGCACCTCCCAGCGCTGTGGGTTTCCTGCAGCCCCACGTGCTGCCAGCTCCTAGAAACAGCAAGTAGCAAATGCTGGCAGTGTCACTCTTAAAGTTGAATCTGATTTTTTCTGTGTGTGTGATTTTGTAATAAATAAATCATTTATTTATTTATTTTAGTCAGCCTGTAATGCATATGCATTGTTGAAAGGGATGTAGTGTGAGATGTAAGTCTTCTTTGGTAAAATCAGTGGCTTTTTAATTATTTTTTTCTGGAGCTGTGATTTATCATGTCGTTCCGTTGTCCCTTAGAAGAGCAGAAATTGCTGTATTGCAGTTCTTAATTGAACAATGTGCATTTTTAAAATGTCACCTATGATGTTAAGAGTGCAGCTTTGGTGACCCGTGCCCTTTGTTGTGCCAATAGGTGAATGACAAGAGATACTTGCGCTGCCCGGCAGCAATGACAGTGATGCATCTACGAAAGTTCCTGCGGAGCAAGATGGACATCCCCAACACTTTCCAGGTACCTTGCTGCTCCATCCCTGCTAATGCTGCTGGCATCCTACATGCTTTGGGTTTCTGGCCGTGTATGTGCGGAGTTGGCAGCATGCTGGTGGGAGTGAGGGTGTTATTTACCTCGTGGAGGGTTTGGCCATGCTGCAGATATCGAGGTGTGAGGGGATTAATTGATCTTTTTAGTATACGTGAAAATTCCCAGTTCCCTTTGTGCTGGGCCCGGTGCTTTGGAGCGCTCTGAGGCTGCCTTCAGCACAGAGCCGCATGCTGACACCGGGCTGCACCTCCTGGCAGATCGACGTGATGTACGAGGAGGAGCCCCTGAAGGACTACTACACACTGATGGACATTGCCTACATCTACACCTGGAGACGGGTAATGTCTTGGTGGCACGCAGTGGCCTGGCGGGGTGGTTCCTGGGGTTCTGACGGGTCTCTTGCCTTGCAGAACGGCCCGCTGCCCCTCAAGTACCGCGTGAGGCCCACCTGCAAGCGGATGAAAATTGGCCACCAGCGAGAAGGCCTCAGCAACAGCGGCGAGCTGGAGAGCGACTCTGGCAGCGACAAGGCCAGCAGCCCGGCCGGGGGGCTGCCCTCCACCTCCTCCTGCCTGCCCAGCCCCAGCACGCCGGTCCAGTCCCCCCACCCGCAGTTCCCACACATCTCCAGCACCATGAACGGCACCAGCAGCAGCCCCGGCAGCAACCACCAGTCCTCCTTCACCAACAGAGCACGGAAATCCTCCATAAACGGCTCCTCGGCCACTTCGTCCGGCTGACAGCCCGGCCCCGACCCTCCTCTCTATAGATCTCTCATGCCATTACAGCTTTATAGATGCTAATACATGTGACTCTCGTCCAAACTGCTTTCTTTTGTAGTGACACTGAACTTGGCTATAAAAGGCGAACTAGGTGACATTTGCTGTGGACGTTAATTGCGACGCGAGATTGAAATGTAAATGGTTTCCAAAGGACCGGGAAGCAAACAGAAGTGACACCTGGGTGTGCTGAGTGCTGCGGGGCCCTCAGCCCGACCGAGCTGGTAGAAGCCCTGGGATATAGCTGGTTAACCCAGACTAACTCCTCCACCGCGTTCTCTTCGATTGTTATTGTTATTATGCCGTTTTGTGAACCTGTAGAAAGCAAGTGCTTTTTCATCTTGAAATTCGACGAAACAGAAAGGATATGCATAGAATAATGCATATATGTAGCCATGTCACTGTGAATAACAATTTTTGCGTATTAGCCATTTTGATTCTTATGTTGCATCCTTAATTCTCTGTTGCTGCACAGAACCGATCAAACGAAAAGTAAACTTCAGTTTTACAATCTGTATGCCTAAAAGCGGGTATTACCGTTTTATTTACTGACTTGTTTAAATGATTCGCTTTTGTAAGAATCAGATGGCATTATGCTTATTGTACAATGCCATATTGGTATATGACATAACAGGAAACAGTATTGTATGATATATTTATAAATACTATAAAGAAAATATTGTGTTTCATGCACTCATGATATGGTTGTTAAATTTCAGAACCGGTTCGACCCTTGCAGATGCCGCCTGGTTGAGCTCTGCTCGCACTGCCATAGAGCTGCAGCGCTGAGGAAGCACAGCCACTCTGATAACCTGGAGGCGATTGCCAATCCCGAAAGCATTTGACTGCCTTTGTCTTTTTTTTTTGTTGCTGTTGTTCCCCCAAGTGGTCTATTTTACTTTACCAAATGTTGTTGAAGTGATGAAGTGAAGGAAAAAAAAAAAAGCAAAAAAAAAAAAAAAAAAAGCAAAAAAAAAAAAAAACAACAAAAAAGTTAAGGGAGATGAAAGTAATTGACGTGCTTGATTGCCTTTTTATTACTTGGTGTGGTGGGGACTGTGTTTTTAAAAGCACACGGAATCATTATAGAAGCCATAAACTATTTGGTATAAATTTTAAGGAGCCAGCAGTTCGCTGGGTGAAGGCATTTTATCTAAATTTCTTTTAATATATACGGATATGGTACAGTACTAACTTCATTAGAGCTTAACAGGTACTTGACTCCTTCGATAAATTGCGGAGAATGCCTCCTCGGGGAGGGCCGCCAGTGGGGGCGTTTCCTGGGGGCTCCTGAGGGTTTGGTTTGTTCAGCAGAAGGAACTTTTCTGACACCAAACAGAATGGCCCGGAACACTTTTCAGTTTGTTCTTTGCTTTGGTCGAACTTCGTGTGTGTTCATCACCCACCAGTTATACATTTGTGAGGGTGTTTATTCTATATGGATATTGTTTCATGTTTGTACGGGAAAATTGTAGTTACACATTTCATTGTCTCCAGTCTGCAAAAGAAGCACAATTCTATTGCTTTGTCTTGCTTATAGTCATTAAATCATTACTTTTGCATATAAATTGCTGTTATTTGTCCCGCTTGTTTTTATAGACCAGGTGATTGCAAACCCTCCACAAGGTTCTTGCTTATTGATGTATAATGTCTTGTTAAACAAGAGTTGATATTTTTTCCTGTAGTAAACATGTACAGTTTGATTTCAACGGTAAAAAACTTCAGTTTTATATACACGAATAACTTTCATTTATAGTTGATCAAAGAAATAAACAAATAAAAGGGATAATTCATTGAAAAAATAGCAGATGAACTTTGTCGGTAACGCGGCGTCGAAGGAGAGACATACTGCTCTCGTTGCAGTCTGTCGGGTCGGACGAAAGCTGGGCAATGAGTGGAGCGGCGCGGCAGTGCCAGGCAGCCCCGCAAGGCTCAGTGCCGTGGCAGCCCCGTAAGGCTCCGGCAGTGCCGCGCCGGCTGCGGCGCTCGCAGCGCACGGCCGCGGTGCGCCGGGCGGTGTGCCGGGCCCCGCCGGGAGCTGCGCGTCGAGCGGCATGGCTGCGAGGGCGGAGAGCGGAGCAGGGCCGGGCTGGAGGAGCGCGGAGAGAAGCTGCGGAGCCGCGGTTGTGCGTAAGGTGCTCCGCGCGGCCGTGTCTCGGCGTGGTTCCCTCTGCTGTCGGCTACACGCTTCGTCCTGTCGGAAGCGGTACGCGTCAAACCCAGCCCCGAGCCTAAAGCAAAGCGCTGCGCGTTACGCACGGTCTCAGAACGGTGCTCTGTTTGTACCGGGAGGAGCTGAAAATCACCGCTGTCCGAGTTTAAATCAAACTTCTCGTCGTGAAGTCTCCGTGCAGAGCGAGGCAGTGACATGGGATAGATGCCTCCCTCCGAGGGCCGTTCAGCTCTCCGCCTTCTCTCCGCTCCTCCGCCAGAAGTGGAGCGGCCGCCGCAGCCCCTCCCGCCGCGCTCCCGCAGCCGCCGCCGCTCGGGCTCCCGCGCGGGGCTCGGTCCGGGAGCGGGGCAAGAAACTCAGCCGGGCGCTGCGCGGCGTTCTTCTGCGAGAAGACAGAGGGCGGGGGTCTGCGGCAGCGCTTGCGGGTTCCCGCTGCTGGAAAAGAGCTCCCAACCAACCGATCGTGACAGGAGGCTGCTCATCCCCCGACGTTTCATTTGTTGGGATCGGGGAAGAAAAGCCGAAGTTCGCGGGATTGTAGGAGCGCGTTCAGCAACCCGGCCGAATAAAAGCAGGGGCGGGTGTGGTGCTGACTGTATTCGGCTTTCCGCCCATTCTGACTGCTCGCGTCTCCCTACCGGGCTCTGGGGATGGCGGGCTCGCAACGGGGCATTGGCAAGAGGAGATTCGGGGCAGCGGGCAGAAGGCTGCCGGAAAGGCAGAGGAAGGCTGTGAGGAGCCTGGTTCCCCCCGGGGCGCGCATTGCGGTCGGAACGCCGCTTCTCTCTCGGCTCGGAGCCGTGTCTGTGGCGAGAGCGGGAAGATGCGGGGGGGCCCGCTCTCTCCGAGAGGCCCTTCCCGGCTTTTTGGTGATGGAGAAGGCTCTGAAACGCTCAAGCGGGGACGACAGGCGTCCTGCCGGGCGGAATGCCGTTGTTTTTCCTTTTTCCCCGCTGCCGTCGAGGACGTGCCGCTCGCCCCGGGCAGCCCGGTCCTGTCCTGCTCGTTTCGCTGCGGATGATCCAGGTCAAGGCGCGACAGGATAGGCTCGCGGACCTACCCCTCAGCCCTCACCCCGCGAGTCCTTCGCCCCTGCCTCGCTCTGTCCCGCGGGCTCGGAGCACTGCCCGTCCCCTCTGGCCGCCGGCGAGGCCCGCGGAACTCCCGCACATCCCATCCACGAACCGTATCGCTCTCAGCCCGGTGTGGCGGCGGCACCTCGCGCCCTCCCAATGTTCAGAGGGTGAAATTCGGAGACAATGTTTACCCAGCCAAGTGTTTCCTGTTTCCGCTGTTAATTTTTAACGTCCTCGCTTCTACTCTGGGTACTTGAAACGGATTTCCTTCATTTTACTACAAACTTTCTTTTTCACGATCTCTCCAGAGCCGCGTTTGTTTTACAACCGCGGAGATAATAAACAACAATAACAAGAAGAAGAATGAAGGGCGAACCGGAGCGGCGGGGCAGCACGGAGCGGGCACAGCCTCGGGGCCGCAAAGAGAAGGAGGCCGCCCTTGGGGCCGCGCAGACGGGGCGGGAGGCGGCCGCGCACCGCTCCTCTCCGCGCCGGCGGGGCCGCAACCGGCTGTACTGGGGCGGCCGCATCTCCGCCGCCGCGGAGCGGAGCGGAGCGCGGCCTCCGCCCGGGCAGAGGCCATTTTGCGCCTGCGCAGCTCTCCTGCCTCGCGCCTGCGGAACTTCCCCCGCGCTCCGCCGGATTCGAACGGGACCCGCGCAGGACCCGCGCAGCACCGCGCACCCGGCAGCGGGGCACTCCGTTTCCCCTCCCGAGGCATCCGCAGAGCCGGACGGCTCCGCGCCGGCCTTTCCCTCGCCACCTCCGCGCTAGGTGCTCGGGGCTCGCAGGCAGTGCAGCTGGTTTGTTGCTAGTGGCAACCACACGACAGCGATTTGCAGCTCGTTCTGCTGCCGGTGCCTCTCGTTCCACCTTCTCGCGCACACCGGCACGTCGCCGGAGGGTCCTCACTTTCCAGCCGCGAGGACAACGGTGGGGCTGGCAGACGGGGCGGGCGCCGGGCATCGCGCGGATTTTGCGTTTCCCCCGTTCGTTTGCGAGCTGCCCGCGGACGCAGCCCGGAGCAAGGGTGGGCGAAGCGATCGTGGGACCCCGTAGGGAGGTGCAGGCAGCGCGCACCCGTAGCCCCAGCGGTGGACATGAAGGGAGAGCTCATTCCTTTCCACTGCCCGAACAAACGCGGCTCCGGCTTTCGGTTTTGGACCGTCTAAAAATATTTATATTGCATTATTATTGTTATTATTTTGATGGTACTGCAGAGAAGCCGTCGGTTCCAGGGGAAACTAGAGGTGCAACCATCCGCAGGTGGCAAAAGGGCTAACCCCCAGCAGCTGGCATTTCCTGGCCCCATCCCGCAGACAACCCGAAACACTCTGCCCATTTCCCATCTATTTCTCTCTCATCGTTTTTGTTCTGCCTTTGCCCACCGTGGTGGCGACGCACAGCTCCCCACCGGCAGGAGCCGTGCGACGGTGGAACCGCGGCAACACATGGTAATGTCCTCCTCGGTGGGGAAAAAAGAGAAGTCCTCTTCCCAGTGCCCCGACTTCGATGCCTTCGCCCCACAGAACTACTTCGTTCCATAGGAGAGTCCCACAAATGGAACCCGATGCCGGGAGCGCGGGGTGGCACCGCGGGACACCGAGAGCCACTGGGAGCCGTGCAGAACATCTGTAGCGGAGTAGGCTGCGGGACAGCCCCGATGAAGTCCCGCCTGGAGCCGGGTTGGTCATGACAAAGCCGACCTTAGGCTGGAAAATTAAACCATTTCTTGCAACGGTTCAAATATTTCTCTTGCAGTGCATGACCTATCCCGGGTTGCACACCCTTCGCTCAGCGATGGAGCGTCTCATTCCCCAACAGTCCGACCACTCGTGACTCCCCATTCAGCAAGCCAAGCACTCGAACCCCGAACCGCGGGGGAAAACCCCGGGCTGTGCGCGTCGTCCTCCCACCGGCACGCGTTAAAATCTCTTTTTTGCAAACCTATTTTTTTGCTTAGAGGTGGAATCATCCGCCCGACGGGGACACTCCATGGGAACACCCCATGGGGACATCCCGCGGGCACATTCCACAGCCGCCGTGCGGTGCGGCGGGACACGTCGCCTTCTTTCTGCCGGAGCCGTAATAGTAGCGGCCGCATCGCGGTACCGCTGGGCACGGGCTGTCGGGGGACGTCAGCTGAGAGGCGACGGCCGCGGAACACCCCCGGCCGTGCCACCGCCCGGCGCCCAGGCCCTTCAGAGCCCCACGAATACCTTTACCGTCCACCTGGCCGGGGAAAAAAGCTGCGTCCCGGCGCCTTCCGGCCGCTTTTCCCAAGGAATCAAAGGCGAGGGTAAGGCACAGCCGCCAGAAAGCTAGACGCGATACCGATCGGGACATTTGGTGGCCGTTCTCCTGTCCCTGCTTATTTCTGAAGCCGACGCGCCCGCTCACGGCGACGTCACAGCTGTCAGTGATTTTCCGTTCTCGGTACTTTTGCGAGAACTCCGGCGACGTTTCCGCAGCCGCGTTCGCGCGGCGTTTGGCCCCGCGATGCCGTCCGCTCCGTGAGCTGCTGCGGCCATGCAACGGCCCCGCGCGGTGCGGGGCTGCGCTGCTCCGAGCATCGGGTTCACGGCGAAACAGAGAAATGAATCGATCGGCGATCGGCGCAGCTGCTTTTGGAAAATAACCCCGTGAGCCATTCATCACCGTTTGTTTATTTATTTATTTTTAAATTTGAGTTACTTAAGAACAGAAATAAGCGCACGGCAATGTGTTTAACAGTTGTTCCCTTCCCGAGTCCACATGGCGATAATTTCTCCAAATATTTTTGTGACAAACGGCCCCGGCGATCCCATCCTACCCGCCTCATCTCCCCGCGCCCGCTCCGTTTGTTTGCTCCCGGGGAGCGACGTTGGCGTTAAGGGCGGCGGGCAGCGCGAAGCCCTCGGCGGCCCCGGCACGGATCCCGGTGCGCTCACCGCTGAGCGCACCCGGGGATCGGGGGATTAAAACTTCGGCAACTTTCTTCCACTTCTCCGAACTTTTCCAATGAATTTTCCCTCCCGACTTCGAGCCGCGCGCCACAACTTTTCCTCACCGCCCACCGCACGGGGCGGCCCCTCGGGGTCGGCCCACTCCGAGCCCCGCGGAGCAGCCCGAGGCCCGCGGTGTCCCTGCGGCTGCCCTCGGGAGCTCGGGCCGGTGTCGGCGGGAGCCGCTCCACGCGGCGCTACCCGCAGCTCGGCCGGGGCGGCGAGAACTGGCAGAGAGAAAGAGGTAAAGAAAAGAAAAGGAATAAAAGAAAGACAGCGAACTGAAAGGACCCCGCGAGAAGCACGGGGTGCTGCGGCCGCCCCGCTTTTCCTTTCTTTTTCCCCCCCCCGGGGCGACGGCACCCTCAGCAGCGAGGGCGGCTGCTGACCCCGGCCCGGCCCCGAGGGACTCCGCGCTCCGCCAGCAGCTCCGCGCACCGCGCCGGGACGGGGCGGGGGCGGGGAGGGCGGGGCGATGACGTCACACTCCGCGGTTAGGCCCCGCCCCCCGCGCCGCTTCCGCCTGCCCGGTTGCCGCGGCGACGGGTACACG